TCGTAAATACGTTCATGTCTCAAAATCTGGTGAACTTTAGCAAAAATCTTCTAATGTGTCTCTAGAAGCATCACCTCTCCCGAATCCTAGCGACTCGAGACATTCCTACACCTACATCCTAAATGCTAAACTAATTTGTATTTCGGTGATTAAATACCCTATGCGGCAGAAAAGGACAGAAAAAGTTGTATCTGTACTTATCTCTGTATTGAATAAAGAAATAATAAATAAAATAATTGAAAGAAAAAAATAGACCTACAATATGATTTATGTAAACGTGCTTTGTCTGTAATTCTTTCACCACTTCGAATGAGACCAAATATTTTGTTTATTGGTTGATTTGACAAAGTAATAACAACTAAATCATCATCACTAAACATTTCTCGATATTGATTATTATTAGGAGTTCGTTTTTGTAATATTTGACTTTTAAGTTCAAAGATTCCTGATTTAAAAAGACGCATTTGATGTAGAACAGCATCAAATTCTACTCCAGCTAATTTATGATCATTTAGTTTCGTACTTCGTTTGATCTATCGAAAAACAAAACATATTATATTAAATAGACTATAATTGAATAGTTTTTATTTTCTATTCACTTCTTCGAATGTTTCTTCGAATAACCAAGGTAATGTAATTTCTTCATATTCATTAAACGAAGAATAAAGTTCTAGTAATGGTACGGGATATGTATTTTCACCAAGAAACTCTTTATATAAAATATTAGTTTCAGGTTCTATTAATATAAATAAATAAATAAATAATATATTTATTTGGTAAGAAAACAAAAAATTAATATAATCAAACCTAATTCATCAATTAATGAAACAGGCCATTTGAGAATATAAATAAGATAATCATCATATGTATGAATTTTTGTTGACTTTGGTTTTTTTTCTTTGGTATTTGTGGATGTTGATCGAATTGGTAATGTACTTGAAATAGATGAAGATTGTTGTACAGTAGTTAAATTAATAGTTGTATTTGATGATGCTGAAGATGAACTAATAGTTGTTGTATCTGTTGTTGTTGCATTAGTTAAGGTTACACGAACCATTGTTTCAGTCATTTCTTGTACTAATTTATCAAATGCATTTTTTGGTGCCTTTAATATATAGAAAATCTTAGAAGAATGAAAATATTTATTATGCATATGAATAAAAACCTTTTCTGATGATCGAATTTTCTTTGATGCTGAAGTATCATCTTCATTAGCTTTTCGTTTCACTGGAGCGATTGGTTTCTTTGCTTGATTTACTGTTAAAAATTAATAAAACTACTTTTTTTTTAATCAGTTTTATAAAAGTAAAACTTTTATACATTTTTCATCGTTTGTTGTTGTTGTTGTTGTTGTTGTTGTCGTGGTTGGTTTAGGTTTACGCATTAATTTTTCACGTAATCTCAATTGTTCTTCGGCAACAATTTGTGTCATTGCAACTTGTTCACCACGTGCTCGACGACTACGTAATGTAGTTAATATTGATTTTGTTCTTTCACTGACTGTTTCTAATAGAAAACATACTGTAAAAATATTGATCATTAGTAGCAAGAAAATAACTTACGTTCTTTTGGAGCAAAAGAATTAAAATCAGGTTTACTATTAGGTAATCTTTTCACAGGTGGGCGAACAATCGATGGAGAAGGAAGATTCAGCGGTATAATATCTTCATCACTACTATCATTAGCTGGTCGTTTTTTCGATGATGAAACAATAGTATGTAATTCCTGTTTCAATCGAACATTTGAAGAAGGAATATCACTAGTACTGACTGAATCTACATACAACGTTTAGTAGAAAACCGATGTCCAAATGATCAATTGTCCTTACTTTTGAGTGGTATAGATAAAGATGATGATGATGATGTATTGATGAGAGAAGAGTCAGGTTGTTTAAAAAATGTGCGTATATCCGAGTTATTGCTTTGAGGTTCTAGAATAATAATACAAAAAAAAATAGTGGATTATATTTGACTGAAGTATCCCTAAGATAGAAATAACTTCGAATTAACAGGCAAACAAATGTTGTGTATAATGCATATACCAGTGACATATAAAAAATTACCGAAGAGTAAGCTTTAATTGGCTATTCTTTTCAGAGTTATAATCCTTTTCTTAGAATTTTAGTCTATGCCATGGTATGTACCAATAAATCAAATAAAAATATTTTGATCTGAAATATCGCTCATATTTTAGTCCACTTGTAACTAGAATGTTCTGAAAATTTTAATTGAATACAATGATTTATTGAGGAAGTATTGAATTTCTGAAAAAAAAAGATATGAGATTCTTTCCTTTATTGTAGGATATCAGTGTAATTCAATCTTTTCTAAATAAATTATTCTATTTAATTCATATATTTAGGACATTTTAGTTACAATTTGATCGAGTTACGAGCGAAATTTTAGGTCGAAATAGTATAATTCGATTCATTGGTACATATCGTGCCACAGATTAAAATTCTAGCAACATGGCTGTATTTCAGGCGAAAAAGGCTATCGAAGATTTATTCTTGAAGTGTTTTTTAATCATATTTCACTGGTATTTATCTTATACACAGAATTTAAAAACAAAAATTTATTAATTATTTATCACGGTTTCTTCTTGACAATTCGAAAAACAAAATATGTGCCCACCTCTTGTTTTCTTGGTATTTTCTTCGGTTTGTTTCTTTTGTAATGCTTGTTCAAATTTTAATGCACTAGTCAATAATTCATCATCACTTACACTTGGTGTCAATTCTGTCTTTTTTGTTGGTTGTGTTTGTTGTATTAATCGTGAATTATTACTATTACTAGTATTAGCAGTTGTAGGTAAGTTTTTTATTCGTTGAAAAAAGTAGTTTGACATGTTTATATATTTAATATCAAATAATATTTATACGTATTGGAAAATTCTAATTAAGATATTTTTCGTTTATTAACCATCTAAAAATTCATCAAAGACAACTAGAAGCAGAAATATGTTTTATGTATATATTCATATTTATATATATATGTATATTTCCTCTATGTTCAGAACGTTGTTGCTTTTCAAATGATTAAAAAACGAGTCTAGATATGAATAAGTAATAATTAATACATATAAAGACAATATCAGGAAGAAAAAGAATAAATATGTGCATGAAAATGTATAGACTCCTAAAGACAAACCAACACACAAACAAGAACAAGAAACGAAATCGAATCACATTTCTTCCAATGTTTTTCGTACACATTCGCTAACTTTTTTCTTAAAGGCTGCTCGATCATCTCGCCACATAATCGATGCGTCAATATTAGCTGCCGAATCACAGTTTGGATCACTGAGCATCGAAAGAACAGATAACAAAATTGTTTCTAAGAGAAAGTAAAAGAAAACAAATGCATATAATCAAAAACAAAAAGCAATAGATAGACAAATCTAAACTTACCAACTGATTGTACAGGTGACCAACGTTCTGATGCACGTTCATAACCAAATTGATCGACACCAGGTTCATGAAGCTAGAAAAAATTATTTTTTTTTAATTCAAATCAGAAAAATTATAGGACTTACAATTGATATACACACATCACCATTTTTTTCAATATTCGGATGCCAAATTTCCGAAATAAATTTCTATAATACAAACATTCGATATAAATTATAAATGAATCAAGTAAGTTCATAGAATAATAAATTATTTAAATAACTGTTGTTACAACAATCTCTGTGCGATTAAAATGTGAAACATGATTAATCTGTATATACTGTAAATCATAGGATTCTACAAGAACTTACAATGTACTGATATGTCCATGAGGAAAAATATTATTCTTTATATATTATTGTACGTTTGGAAACGAAATCAAAGACAGATCATTTCAAAGTCAATCTTCATTCATAATAATCCGACAGAGTTTAGGTTGTAGGCTACGTCTGGTACGCAGTGTGATAGAGGGTATGGGTGCATTTACACCCTGCATTTTTTTAGAAAACTGCCTTTTAATTTGCATCAACATTAAATAAGCATTCTTTTCTAATTCAAGCACGACAGATAATGCTAGATTACGCCATTTGTTACGTGCTGTTAAAAACTCTACTTAAATATGTTACAAAGATGTTATTTTAAGAAGTTTTTTTTTCTAGATTTCAATGAAAGATAATCCATGTATCAACTAATTTATGGGTATTTGTACCAATATGATTTCCAGTCAGAAAAACTGCAGCTGCCTCCTCCATCTGATTGAAAGTATCATCAATATTTTGTTTTTGTTTGAAAGATCTAAATGCAATTAAATGTTCGTTCAACCAAATTTTTCATAGTTGATTTCTATGTTTAAAAAAGTGAAACTTGGTGTCATGAAGTCACTATGTTTGTACTTTATGCACTAAAATAATCATATAAAATGAATGAAAGTGAATTTCAAAACTCTGCTCGAACAAAAGCTGCACACAAGCATTAGCTTGTATTTAAAATTATTCCAAGCTCTGTACCTCTTGGCTGGAAGTTGGATCTCGTTTGACATGTTGGACTGATTTTATTACCAAAAGTGTTTTTTGACTAGAGCCATTCATTTGGGAAAACTTCAGCCCAAATGAACTATCCTAATTGGTAAATCTATTGTGAAGGAGAGGATCTCCTTCGGATCGTGTTTCAAAAACAACAAATTAGTAAATCTTACCATTTTTGGTGGTTTTATCGGATATTCTTTGGGAAAATCCAAACGTGCTTTGAAGAACCCTCCTAATCATAAATACTTCATAATCATATTTTCATAGCAAAAAAAGAATCTACCTTCATAGAACGTATCCGATGGTCCAACTAGAATGACATTCCATGCATATGGATTGGTTTCTTCAATTAGACCAGCACTGATACCTTCGACGGGATGACGATTAAATTCACGTAATTGTTTAAGTAAAAGTAATGCGGAACCATCCATTAGAAAAGATAATCTAAAAAAAAAAGTCTTAATTATCACTGTTTAAATCACTCAAAAAAAAAAGAAAATTAATATATTTATGATATATATGTTTTTTCAATTTAAATCAATTATCATACGGTTGGCACATATTCGTCCGGCAAATTTAGCGAAAGTTGTTAAAATTTCTAAGAAATAATAAAAGTAATTTTCATTTAATGCTTGCAATTGTAGTGGTGTTATTAATCGACCATTAACACGTAATTTAAGTTGTTCAATATTAGTTTCTTCATTGTCATCAACTGAAAAAAAAACAATAAGTAAAATATAGTTAAAAAACAACATATGATGAATTAACAAAAGCAAACAAACCTTTAGTTGGATCTGATTCAAATCGAACATATCTATGAGTATTTAATAATGGTATACATTTTTCAATACGATGCCAAGTATATGTTTCAGGACAGAGAAGAAATGATGGTTTGTATTGACCCTAGAACAATGTGATAAGTTATGCTGATTGATCAAGTTTCACACGAAATATAAAGTATTTAGCATCAATACATATCGAGTTTTGAATTCTATATTTCCAAAACTTTTCTCACGAGGTCTGATGGTATTGCTCAGGAGTAAAAAGCTTGGAACTAATACTTGGCTAAATTTCTTTTGAATATACTTTCGAAACTCGTGGTTACAAAACTCAGATAGGTTCTCTGAAAAGTTCATCCTTCTTTCATCAATCGCAAAATTTAATCCTGAAGAAAATGATCTGTAACATTTAAACTGAAAAATGAAAAATTTCTGAATATTTTCAATTAAAAATCAACTATATCATGAGCCTATCAAAAAAAAAGATCCTTTGCGATATGTTTAGAATTTTTACTTCAAAAATCATCTGAAATGTTAACATGTCGAGTAACGTAAAATCTGTGAACGATTTTGTAGCATATGTCAAATTTCCAAGAAACTGATTTCTAAAAAAACTTTTTGAATTATTTTTGTGCTTTGTAACTATCACGGTTAGCAGTTTGAATAGTTGTAAGTCTTTTCAATCATTTGGATACAAGAAAAATCTTATTCAAAAAATTCTCAACTGAAGGAACTTCAAATAGACTTACTGAACTATGTTATAGATCTTCAGAAAAACTAAATAAAAAAAAATGTCAGATTCTTTATAGACTACTCATTATTTCCTCTTTTTTTGATAACATAGAATAGCTAACACAAATGTCATCATATAATTTTCTAGAAAATAAAAATAGAATCAGTATATGTAAATTACTAGTTTCAAAACAGACAAATTCAACGCCATTACCGTCTTAATTTGCTAACGAAGGTTGACAAAAGCAGAAATTTTCTGATTAAAACTACGTGTTTATTGACGATTAACGCTTGAATATTTTAAAATAATCAGAAATTCTAAGAAAAGATCAGAATTCTTTTTTTGTCGATTGTGTCAATACATTAAATAAATCAAGAGTTTTGTTTCAAATTTAAATAGACAAATACGATATAATTTAAAATTGAAATCTTTTGTCAGATATACTTTCATTTATTATACATACTTTTTCTATGTAAAGTATCGTAATTAAGAGATCAGAGCTAAAGTTTACTTCATTAATCCTCATCAAAAAACATTATTTTTATGAATATTTAGTGTACTTCATAGTGCTTAATTGGCAGCGTCACAGAGTATACCAATTATTTATAGCGATGAGATTCGTTATAAGGTAAACTTGAGTGTAGACCAAAAACTTTATAAACGTTATGGTTCAATAATAAATGACAGTCTTTCAAAACCTAACTGATAATTCAATTAGTTTAGACAGAATTATACTAAAAATTTCTTGCTATTCGTATACGCCACACAAATAATTACTTTGTAACGCATTTTTACACATGTATGCACATAAAAACCAAGATAATAATATTTTATATCAGGTATTTCACGTGCCAATTGTCGTGTCAATTCAATTTCTCTATAAAGAACCATAGAATAAAATTTAAAAAAAAAGCTCAATTGTTTTTGTTTTTTCGTTTAAATTTTTACTTTAGTGCTGAATAAACTCCAAGTTTAAGAAAACCAAAATCAGGTTCATAATAAAAATACACCGATGATATACCTTGAGGAAGAATATCAATAACACTGCATGCAATAATTTTATTATTAAGATAATATTGTAAATGAAAAGATCCATAACCGCATGAAGGAATTTTTGATGATGGTATTCGTGAACAATCTTTTTCTAAAGTTGATTGACAAAGAAAACGTTTATATTGTGAAAATGAACATTCTGATTTAGTATCTCCATGAATTGCCATTTGATAACGTTCATAAATTAAATGAGATTCTTTTAATGTACGTGTAAATTCTTCACTTGGTGGATATGAACGAAGTAAACGACATTCAAATTTATTTTTTGATTGTTCATTAAATTGTAACATTTGTTCAAGTGATTGAATTAAATTGGTTTTCATTCTATTAAATCGTTTGATTAATAAATGAATATCTTTGAATAGATGGGAAAACAGAGAGAAGAAGAAGAAGAAGATAAATATTTAATTGAGATTATTTTTTTTTATCTATATGAACAAACCGGTTTCGAATGAAAGTTTATTTTGTGTTTTAAGTTTAACTAATTTTTTATACCAACGTTTTTGACGAGATCGTAATCGATTAAGAAGTTCATCAGGTGGTGCTTTTGTTTATGAAAATACAAAAGAAAAACTATGAAAAATAATGATATATTTACTTTCATACGTGTATCATTTGTTAACATATGACAAATTAATTGAATAGCATTTGTCTTTGGTTGTGTGTTGATCCATTCGTTAAGCTTTATTTTATTGTTCGATTTATTTGTTGTAGATTTCGATTGAATACTAGTTGATTTCGTTTTTTTTGATTTGTTCGATGTAGGAAGAGTTGAACTAGCAGAAGTCTGAGATTTAGATGATATTTTGTCAGATTCACCGGGTTTTATATTGTCATTAATAAATCGATTCATATTTTGTATAACTTGTCGTTGTGAACGAGATATTTCAAAATTATTTGCATCACAGCTATTTAAAAACAAAACAGATCGAATTAATATAGATAATTCAACAAAATTATCAATTATAAAGATGAGCAAGTAAAAAAGATTTTTCGAACATTTTTACTTCTATACGATTCTTGTAATGTTCAATATGATATTGACACGAAACAAACTGAATTCATTTAATGTACAATCAAATTATTTTTTAAGAAACAAATGATCAATCACTCTTCCATCGCAAGTTACTGAAGTATGGCCTATCGGTCATGTTGATTATGACTATAGCCATAAGAAACTCACTTATATGTTCATCTGTTAGTTCTCTAGAAAACTGATTTTCTAAATCAACTCTATGAGAAAATAATATTTTCTATTTCTAAGTATAAGTTTTTCTGAGTTAGTCATTCTTTGGTAAAATGTTCTCGTAAACTTACCGTATTGTATAAAGTGGACAACATGTTTTATCCATCAATGATTTATAATAATACGTGCCACATCTATGCATTAGAAAATATATATCGATTTCAAAATGTTTTTTTCTTTTTAAATAATTCTCACTTTCTCCAACCACGATCCATCAATAGTAGATAATCATCAACAAACATCTTTGAAGCAACAATACCTACATAGTAACAAAAAAACAAATCTTCTATTCCTAAAGTATACTTTTCTTTACCAAAAGAAATTTTTCCACTCTGAGTCTGACAATATCCACAATTTGATGAATGAATTTTACGTAAACTAACTGAACTAGATAAATACAAACCTGCTGAACAACTTCCATCTGTTTTACAATAACCACAATGATGTGGAGTTGGATTTTGTTCAAATGCTATTTGTACAACAGAAGAAGACGATGGTACATTCGATATTGATGATGCACGATGTCCATGAGTAGACATAATCGTTTTATTTTTGATATATTTATATCTACAATCAAAACAAATCTCCAAATCTATATTGTTTTTTTTTTCTTTTATTCTTTGGAGTAACAATAATAAAAAAACAAAAAGAAAGGAAAAGGAAAAACAAATGAATTATGTTTTAACATTAATTCCTTTAAATGGTATTTGTCGACAATCGACAATTGATACTTGATTATCTCCATTGGAGACATTTGTAGGATTTGTTTTCAATTTTTTTGGTTTATTATTTGTTTCATTATTTTGTGTTGTTGTAATTGATGATAATTTTCGTTTCATTGTCAACATATTCATAACATCTTCATTGATTGTTAATTGAAATCTATATTCAAAGAAAAAAAAAAGCAAAAATAAATATTTGATAATAATAATTATAGAAAATAAACCTTTTTTTAAATGATTGTAAAAGATTTAGAAGTTGTTTACGTTGTTTATCATTATTGATTGGTTTTGTTTTAATTGCTATTGAAACAGCATTAAGTAATTTTGATGCTTGTTTTTCAGTTAATGTTGGATTCTAGAAAATAAAATTCAGTTCATATATAATGATGAAAAGAATTTTAATCACATAGTATTTTTTATGTTTTTTTTTTATTCTATAATAATACACATGTAGTTGAAATCCAGATAGTGATTTTAATAGTCAAGACAGTTATTTTTCAAAAACGCGTTTAAACGCATAAAAAAGGGCTTAAAATCCACAAATAGTGGATGTGTTTGGCTCACAATCGTGGTTCCCGATTGTCAGCGAAAAACAACCACGTTTTGCTCTTTTTGTGCGTTTAAACGCCTTTTCAGCGAAAAAACGCTTGTAAACGCCTATAAACGCATAAAAAGAACATAAAAAGGAGTTATTTTTTTCATTCTCGTGAATCACAATCATGATTACAATTGCAGTTCACGAGAATGAAAAAGATAATTACTTTTGAATGTCTATCATTTACCACAAATCAGGTTCCCTGAATTCATCCCTAAATGAAATCCACATTGTGGATAATTACTAAATTAACGTCTAGACTGGTGATCAAATAGGGATTTTTTTTCATGTAGTATGTGCAAGTCATAACGTAATTCGATATCGTTTTACTTTAACCGTACTAAAAAACTTGACCTATGAAAACTAGGTACTTCAGCGAAGATTTTTCTGTCTGTAAAACTATTCTGGTCACCAGAATTGTGTTTTACTCATTCTCTGTTAAAAATAGAAAAAAATTGAATTTAAATGTATATGGAAGCAAATACAAAGAATGAGCAGAACACAATTCTGGTGACTAGAATAGCTTTACAGATAGAAAAATCTTCGCTGAAGTACCTGGTTTTCCTAGGTCAGGTTTTCTAGTACGATTGAAGTAAGACGATATCGAATTACGTTATGACTTGCACATACTATATGAAAAAAAATTCCTAAATTAAAATCCCTATTTGATCACCAGTCTAGACGTTAATTGAGTAATTATCCACGATGTGGATTTCATTTAGGGATGAATTCAGGGAGTCTGATTTGTGGTAAATGATAACCTACCATTACTTTTTATGCGTTTACAAGCGTTTTTTGACTGAAAAAGCATGAAAAGGGCAAAAAGTGGCTGTTTTTCGCTGACAATCGAGAACTGCGATTGTGAGCCAAACACATCCACTATTTGTGGATTTTAAGCCCTTTTTTGTGCGTTTAAAATCGTAATTTGAATTTGAGCTAAGTACTTAATATAAACTTACTCGAATAAGTAATAATTTTTGTGTTAATACTGTTATAACATGTAAAGATCCCATTTTTGCTGATTTTGGATCATTGCACATCTGAATAGGATACAAAAAAAAAAATTTTTTTTTTTTAGAAAAACAAAACATTTTATTTTTACCGTAACAAGAAGATCAATAGTTGCTTTTAATAATTTTTCATCCATATGGTCCGACTAAATAAAATATATAATATAAAAAAACAGAAAAATATTACAAAAATAACAATTAGATTTACTTGTTTTCTATTAAGAAAATTGTTCAATGTACCACAGACGATATTCTTTAATAGAAATAGAAAATCAAATATTTCATAATAAAATCAAAAATCAAATATTTACTCGTTTTTTCCAATTAATAGTTTCTTTCAAAGCTGTTTGTACCATTAATAACATGAGACGTGTACCATATTCAGGAAAACGTAAAAGAAATTCTTTAATAATACTTGGATGAACAACAGCTTGATGAATCATTGATTCATCAACATCTTCATCATCATCTTTTTGTTTATTCTTTTTTTTCTCTGTTTTTTCTTTTGATCTACAGAAAACATAATATTTTTTATAACTTAGATTTTAATAAATAATATCCTTGAACGTACAGATTAGGTTGAAGAAAACGAAGAAATCCACCTTCATACATAGTTAAAATTGTTTCTTCTACACCGGCTAATCTATCTTCAAGTTTACCCACATGTAAACATAATTTTATCTATAAATAATTCAAAATAATAAAAAAGAAAAAAAAATACTTAATCGAGTTTCAACTTACGACAAACATTGATACTTTTGATAATGTTTCAGTAGTCAATTTAGTTCGACTACCTATGCACAAAAACAAAAAAAAAACAATTAATAAATTATTCAATGAGAAAACAAACAACTAACCAGCTAATGATGTCAAATAACGAAATAATTCAATACATTCATCAGTTGTTGGCATATCCAAATGACCAATCTAAAAATTAGAAATTAATATAAACATAACTTTATAGAAAACAATATGAATCTATACAATAGTAAATACATGAACTTTTTTTAAAAATTTTAAGATTGATCGATTAATTGATGGTATTACACAAAAATATGTTTGATGTATAAACGAGAATTGATTTACTAGTCGATATTTTTAGACTTACTATATTTAGATTCTAATTTTCTTAGAGTGATTTAGCGAGATTCTTTTTAATTCTGAAGGACGAACAACATCCTTTTGCCAGGAAAGAAAACAATTCTTGTCTGATCTTCGAGACAAATATCGCGGCATATTTTTTGGGTACATGTAGCTATATATATATATCGTCGTCTATACGTCATTTATTCATTTCGACAGGACGACACTAAATGCCTCTTTAAATCAATATAACAAACAAAAGATATTCTCGTCCAATAAACTCATGAATTACATGTTAGTATTAGGTAAGTGAGCATATTTTATAGAAATGGAATATTTGTCGAGTCATTCATGGTCAAGTTATTGATGAATTAAAAATTTCCACAAATAATATTAGCAGAAGACGAATTAGAAGAATAGGTATGTATTTGTCTTGAAAATAAATTATTTCCATTGTGTAACTTTTCTTTTTGTTTTCTTTGAATAAACATGCAAATATTGAATGTACATGCATTCTGATAGAACGTTAAAATCTATTTTTTATTCAGTCAAGAAACCTTACACGAACTACCTATAAGTCTAAGAAAATGGGGATTTCAACGATCGTAATCTATATACAACAGGAAAAACCGATATCCTTACGTTGTCGTTTTTCATAAGCTCATAGAACAGTGAAAATAGTGGAAGAAAGGATTACTGATGCTAATGAAAAAATGCCTTGTAAAGCAGACAATCGGATTACGGTGAAAATGAATGTAGTAATATACCGTTTCTGACGATCAGAATAAATGCGCTGCGTAGATATGTAAAAAAAAAATCTGGAAAGACTAAAGGCAAGAATATCGATTAATGGAAGAATCAAAGAATTATAGTATTGATTACAAACTTAATGTGAAGAACTCGTGCTAGCTCGATTAATATTTAGATCTAGAAATTAAAGGACGTAATTAGATCAACAATTGATCTATTCATAATTTATGAAAAAAATAAAAGTTAATAGACAAACTTTCAGTTTTCATCTAGCCTACATAGATTAATTCATGGGATATGTGGTAAATTTATAATATAGCGAAATATATTTCTTTGAAATGGAACATGTTTAATAAAAATAACACGAATTCATATAAATCCAGACCGGTTACACAAGATTTTCTTTGTGTTATATTAATGTACATGTCATTGAAAAGCAAAAATAAATAAACAGACTGGAGAATAACTAACAATTTGATATTTGTTCTGCATGATAGCAAAAAAAAACACATAAGAAATGTTGTTCTGTGCTTACCTCTATTCTTGATCATTTATTACTTTACACTCAAGACTCATCATTTATTGATTATAAAAAAAGAATCTATTTATAAATCATATTGATGTATATTTTCAATGAAAATAATCTATTGATTATTTTGATTTCATTTTTACATGTTTATAATCGATGAACGACAATTTAAGATTAATTCTTGAAATAATATTATTAGAGAATAAAAATTTGTTCAACTAAGGAAAAACTCATAGATAAATACCTTTCGATTTGATAAATGACATAAAATTGAATCGATTCGTTCAATCATTGTTTTATAAGCAGATGTATTTGGTAAACTTGTTAATGTTTCAATTAATGGACGTATACTTATCTTAAAAAAAAAAAAATTAAAATCATTCACAATAAAATATTAGATAAACTTACTAAAACAAAACGCATACGTTCATCTTTTTTAATAACTGATTCAATAAGATCAAGTACACGAAATTGATGATGAAGTTTTTCATTAATTATTTTAATATTTGATGATTTTTTAATTTGTGATCGAAATGCTTCAGCAATAAGTGGATCTAAACGAAGCATAGCTTCATCATCCATATCTACATCATTCTAAAAAATCGATCATTTAAATATTTTGTTCGTTTAAAACTTTATTTTGTTTTTTTATCTTACTTCTTGATCTTCTTTTGCTACTGCATCACCTAATGCTTTTTCAACAGCTTGTCGGAGATCTTCATTCACATCATCATTTTCCATAAGTTCTTCTTCTTCAATATCCGATTGATCCTCATCACTTTCATCATCATCATCTTCATCTTCATCGTCATCATTATCTTCATCATCGCTTTCATTTTCCACAGTAATC